GATCTTATTGAGACTTGTTGTGAAGTTTTACTACGAGTAGAATTCTCTTAAAAACTATGAAGTCTTCTATATTCACAAATGATTCGTGTACTAAGTACTTTTAATCGCTGAATTAACAAAAAGTAAACACCGAATTCAGACTTTTTACATAACAAGCGCTTAAAACTGCTTAAATTGGATAAAACTTCAAGAACTCCCAAATCATTTATTTAATAATTACTTTAAAGTGCTTAAGAATAAGAAAATTTTCAGCAACGTTAAGCGAATTACACACTAAGCCATGATAAGCGCTTAAAATAATATTTTTAAGCGAAATCAAGCGCCTGGTTTAGAAAAATAACTTTTAATCGCTTAAATCATGCAAACTCAAGTGCTTTTAAGTTATTAAGTTAGAAAAAAGCTGTTTTAAGCCGCTTAAAAATAGCTTACAATGGAAATTTTTTTTACATGGGTATAAACATAAATCTAGGCGATCTATTTAATGATGTCCGCAGATTTTTCATAGCTCATAGAAGGATTTTTTAGGTTTCCCTGGCATTATTCTATCATCGCTGAATTCTGATTTCAAGCTACGATAGCTTGCGTAAACTATAATCTAAAAAATGCTACTATACTTTAGGCGAGTAGCTAGCCATCGTAAGCGACCGTTTACGAGAGTATACGATAGAAAAACGGCAAACGTTTCCTGAATCATTTACGGTCATCGGTTCCGACCGTTTACTGTGGTACCCGCCATTCGTTTACAGTTATCGTTTAGTTACGACGGTCGTGTACGGAGATTTTTGACGATTCTCATTTATGACTACCGTATTTCATCGTAACACTTCGTTTACGACTCAGGATGATCGGCCTAGGATAGAATCGAAAAAATGTGAAACGAATGAAAAAGCGAATTTTGTATGGAATAAAAGTAGAGGAGTAGAATGCTTTATCTATCATCCTGCGAAATGAATATTGATTGAACTACAAAAAATAACTTTATTTTGTTTTTTTGATTCTGATCAGTTGAATATAAGATGAAATTAAGAATAGCACTGTCATAATTGTTAGTGCGAGGAAGTTTTTCCATAAATCCCATGAATTAGCATGAGGTATATCAAGATTATCCAGTATCTGCTCGCCTGTCATCGGACAGACATTGGTTTGATTGGACAAACAGAAAGTGAGACCTTGAAATTCATTGATAATAAGTAAATTCGAAACATATCTGGATGCACTAGTCCATTGAATCCAAGAGAGCCATTTAAATACACTGTCTAAATCAAGAACAAAGCCGCTGAACATCGTCATCATGACACAAATAAGAATAGCAATGATGAGAGCCACAGCTGAAAAGAAAAATATAGATGCATAAGTTGAAGATTTTGTTTTTAAGAGCTTTGCTCATTTTTACACCATTTCAGCATTGTAAACGTGATTTACAATATCTTTTGGAAACATATCTTAAAAGTTACTATGAAAAAATAGATGATCTTACGAAAGATTGATGTAATGGCCGAAATGAAAAAGCACATAGCCGACCCGAACAAGCTGGCTATGAAGATTGTTAACAGAAAAATGAAGAATTGACTAATAGTGCGACTGAGACCCATCATGAAATAGGAAATGATAGAAAACAATATTGTTGGTATCACACGCATTGGTAACAAATCGCACAATAATTTTGCAATGAAATACGTGAAGATTCTATAGTAACCACTGGCATATTCCTGTAAAGTGCTAGATTAAGTTTATCTCTATTGTGTAAGAAAAGCTTACATGAATGAACAGTGCACGCTCTTTGAGAAGTGCATCAATCGCAGTCACATTAATGAAAATCTGGTTAAGAGAAATGAAAAAAATTGCACCAAGTCGATTTTGAACACCTGAATCAGTTGTTTTCTTCAAATCATAGAACAGTAATCCAACCATCGCACCAAGAATAATAGAAACGCTAATTTGCGAGAGCGCCAATGCTGGATTTCGAAAAGAATTGCGCAGCGTTCGTTGTGAGAGATAGAAAATTTCTGCTCCTAAGGAGCGAGCTGCTTGGACTTTGTATTTTCGTCGTTTGTGATCCAGACTTTCAAGATCGATCATATTCCCGGGTCGTGGAAAGGCCGCCGATGTATCTGCATCTGTTTTATTGTATAGATCATTCAATTTTGCGATTATGTCTGGTTTTCGACCAATATCTATCAAGACATCTAATGCGAAGTCGGCTGGGTTGTCATACGGCTCACACTGATAATCATGTGTGGAAAAATAGGGAACGACACCTTTAGCTGAACCATGATAAACACATTGACCGTTGCACATCAGCATGACTGTATCAAATAGTTTAAAGATGGAATAGCGTGGCTGATGTATGGAGAATATTATCGTTCCTATAATTGAACCGAACATATTAGTTTTATTCTTGCTCAGAGTGAGGATTGCATTATATCACTTACTTCCACGTCGAGATAGGTCTTTTAGGCAGTTCATGATACTAATCGCTGTCGATGCGTCGAGTCCTACCAAAACCACAAAACAATTCTTTATGTATAATGCACTCGAATGAATTGAAATAGAACTATAATCCTCTATCAATGACATCCGAATATGTGCAGTAGCTTCTTCTGTTTGTTCTTACAAGCGTAAATAGTGTTCACTATAGGTTGTCTCTTAACATACATATCGAGCATAATATAAGATGCTCATAAGCATGGTCCATCGATATGTGAGACCAGATTTTGAATGAAAACACTGCTTTTGGTAGGCAAAGTGGATGACAAACTAGGGGTGGCAGTTTACGTTAATTTAATATTAATAAAAAAAGTTTACATTAGCCACTTAATTACTTTGTATTTTAGTCTTAACGTAATATTTAATTTTTAAAAATTAAGTCTTGATTTAATACTTAATACTAAGTAATTAAGTGGCTAATGTAAACACTTTTTCTTAATATTAAGTGTTAAGTAAAACTACTTAATTAATTCTCTTAACTAACTCAAATTAAAATCAACGGCCCGCCCCTATGCCAAACCCTTCTATCTACGGTACAGCCCTTTGTATAGCAGCATACATTGGCGCTATACAATAAGTCCGACTGAAACCGTTCTTTCAGAAGCAATCGAAATGCCTAAGAGTTTATAAGAAAAAAGGCTATAAACGAAACATAGGTTTCATTTAAGTCTAATTAAAATGTCGAATGGTCATTGACTGAAAGAATGCTTACAGACAAATTTTATTGGTCACTTCTGTTCGTTTTACCTGTTGTTGGTTCATCAAGAAACAAAATATTGGGTGATAAAACCAATTCCATGCCAATACAAGTGCGTTTTTTTTCACCACCAGATATACCGCGAAGAAACTCTGTTCCCACTCGTGTATCAGCACAAGCTTCAAGACTGAGCTCTGTGATAACAGTCGACACACGAACACGCTTGTCACTGGCTGATAGCGCTTCTGACAAACGAAGACTAACTGAAAAATAGAGATTTTCGCGTACTGTTAATGTACCGCTACATATGTCTTCTTGAACCACATAACCAACTGTATACCGAAACGATGGATGCCGTGGAAAGTTATCGACTAAGACGATACCCGATGTGCCACGCGGATCCTTTCGATCAGCCAGAATATCAAGTAACGATGATTTTCCGCTTCCAGAAGGACCTTTTTATACGAAAATCAATCGAACGTTTTACAGAGAGAAGCAAAGTAAGCAGATTATTACCGAGTATAGCATTCATTCCGTTCATAAATCTCCCTGATACGTCGAAAAGAATTTGTTTCTGTTCTGTAACTTTGAAGAATGGTAGAGTCAGACATTTCGATCGTCGTTTGTGCGACCTTGCTTTCGTTCCGACGGTGTAATTTATATTATGGAATGAAATTGTTCCAGTACTACTTACAGTTGTTGACACTTGATTGACCGCTGCCATTTGTACGTGGCAGCAACGACTGTTTTGTTATGATACCACAAGGATGAGTATAACTTCTTAATGTTTTCTCTTCAAAATAGAAAAAAGTAATATTTCAGCACACCGAACGTTATTTAAACTCTCGCCTTATCAGTGAAAACGTGTCATTTTGGTAAACAAGAAAACCTGAATCAACAATCGCACATTCATCAAAGATCCGCAATGTTTCATCGACAAAATTCTATATCAATGACGAAGTAGTCTTACGAAGATAATTTACTTTGCATGAAAGTGTAAAATGGAGAAGTTAGAAACCAAGAATATTTCATCATGATGATTGAACTAAGCACGATTACAGTATTCGAATTAT